CCCTTCCTTATTCGTATCAGGTTGTACGCCCCCCTTAGATCCAGCTTGGTGAAAATCTTTCCCTTCCGCACCCTTGTCAAAATGTCGTCAATCCTGGGCATCGGGAAGGCCACTGGTTCTGACACTGCATTTAAGGCCCTGAAGTCACACACCAGTCTCGGCTTGTTCGTGTTTTTTGTGGACAAAAACACTGGGCTGCCCCACCGCCCTGGACTCTCTGATGAACCCTCTCTTCAGGTTCTTGTCAATGAACTCTCTTAGCTCCTGCATCTCTCTGTCTGACATGGCGTACAGCTTGCCCACAGGGAGCTGTGCCCCAGGGAGCAAATTGATTTGACAGTCAAAGGCTCTATGCGGTGGTAGTTGGTCAGCTTCCCTTTCGCTGAAGACGTCGCGGAGATCTGCGTATTGTCGTGGTACCTTCACGTTCTCCGTTACTTCAGTCCCTGCTAGGGTGGCTTGGGCCCCTGCCAAAACCTTTCCCTCTTTGCAGTGTTCTAAGCAATGTGCTGACCCAAAAGAAACCACTCTTTGATGCCAGCCCACCAGCGGATCATGTAACGCTAGCCAGCTCATCCCCAATATAATGGGAGCTCCTCCCAAGGTGGCCACATTAAAAGCTATTAGTTCGGTGTGCCTTGCCACCTTCATTATCATTGGGACGGTCTGCAAGCTGACTTCTCCTCCCAACAGCTCCCTGCCATCGATCGTGGTTACCTGCAGGGGGTTGCTTAAAGGGAGCGTCTGTATCTGGTGTTCAGCTGCAAACTCTTTGCTCATGAAATTGCAGGAGCTGCCTGAGTCCAACAGCGCCTTTATCTTTAGAGGGTGTCCGTTTGGCAGCTCTAGTGTCACTTCTATCACTAGGGCGGGTTTAGGAGGTTCTGGCGTGGGCACTTTCACTGCTCTTTGGCCTGGCTGCTGTGCCCCGACAATGGCAGCCAGGCGTTGGCTTTTAGTTGCTCCGGTATTTTTTCCTCTCTTCCCTCCACAGCTCCCACCATCCCTTGCCATTCCTTCCTCTGGGGGCAGACTCTGGCAAAGTGCCCTGGCTGTTGGCAGAGATAGCATTTCCGGGCGCCTTTTCCCTCCTTTTTCCCCCCCTCACTGGGCTTTGAAACTGCGCGCGCGCGCGCTGTTCCGATTTCCATCGGCTCTGCCGGCGGGAAAGTTGGCTCTGGAATGTCTGGAATGCGGAACTCCTTCCAACGTTCCCCTTTCCCTTCCCGCCTCTCCAATGCTCTCGCCTCCTGGCGCGCTCCTATGGCCAGCGCTGATTTGGTCAGCTGGTCCATAGACTCCGCCCTGGGCGCCCGGGAAAGTTCATCTTTCACAGCCGAAGAAAGCCCTTCTTCAAAGAGCATTTGAATGGGTTCCGCCGATAAGTCCCACCCCAATCTGTGTATCAGCATGGTGAACTCAGTCCAGTACTCACGTACAGATCGGCTCCCCTGTTTGCAAGCCATTAACTGTCTGCGCACCACTCCCTTTTCAATATCGCTGGAAAACATCAGATCCATGGCGCGAAAGAACTTCATCGTGTCCTTTAGGACGTCACTATGCGCTGCCATCAGGGGTCTAACCCAGTCTCTCGCCCCCTTTTCAAGATGCCCAATCACAAAAGCCACTCGTGATTCCTCATCAGGGAAATCATCAAACTGCAGATTGAGGGCATATTGCATTTCTGTCCAAAGCTATGATAGTCTTTGGGCTCCCCAAATTTCTGCACCAATCCTGGTACCTTTCTGGCGAGCTGGGTGGCTTTCTCCCTTTGTCTGCATCTTGAGCCCTCCTCTCCTCCAGCCTCGCCGTCTGCAGCGCCAGCTGGACCTCCAACACCCGGTACCTTTCTTCCAGGCTTGGACCCGCTCCAGCCCCTGCTTCTCCGGTTCCTGCTGGGTTGCTCATTATGCCTTCTCCTGCACAAGCTGCGTTCAATGACTGTCGGAATGCTGTGATGGGAAGATGAGCTGCTTGTGCGTAAAATCGTATTCCCTCAGAGTTTGTTCAAGTCCACAAACCTCTGTCTGTGACGGAGCCCCTCTGACATGGCTCCTCTAGTCACTAGAAGATTCCGACAGTGGTTGCTTTCGTAATCGCTTCCAACATAAAAGCTCCTTAACGGAAACACGTCTTCTGGACTCTCTGCGTGACAGTTTCCGGCGAGGAGTGGGTGTCCCTACAGGAGGTCCGGAAACCTCACCACTGTTTTCGCTGGAAGTATCTCTGAGCCATCCCCCCAGCTCCCTTTCCCTCAGTTCAGCTTCTCTCCCCCTGCTGGTTTCCTCTTCAGCTGCTGAGTCTCTTCCAACCTGTCTGAGCCCTTTCACCTCCCTCAGTTCAGCTTCTCTCCCCTTGCTGGTTTCCTCTTCAGCTGCTGAGTCTCTTCCAACCTGTCTGAGTCCTTTCACCTCCCTTCCTTCCGATGGCAGTTCCCTGACAATATATATATATATATATATATATATATTATTGGTGCAGTACCTTTCTATTGCATTTAAAGAATGCTAAAGTGGGTTTGGGGTATTTTTCAGTCACACCTTTTTAAAAATTACAATAAAATGCCACACCCAAATAATTACATTTGGGGTAGATATATTTGTACAATGCAATGCTGCAATCCTAAGTGCATTTGCTTGGAGGTATGTTCTCTTGAATTCCATGAGGCTTACTTCAACACAAATGCATTCAGAATTGCAGCGTAAAGGCTCTCTCTTTTGATTTCTAGTTGATTTTCAGCAGAGGGCTGCTGGGGAAGGAGGGGAGCTGGGTTATAAATCCTGTTTTAGTGTTTTGCTATTTATGCAAATTTCCAAATAGAAAGGCATATGGCGTCAAAGTAGCATTAACTATCTGCTTTTCACCAGATCTCTCACTGCCGCATTAGAAGGAAAAGGGAAATGACTCAGGGGAGGGGGGTGTATAGAGAAGTGGAATGTCATATCTAAATGTCATATTGGATTTCTATTGTCTCTCTTAAGCGCCCCGGGTTCTCTTCAACTGCTGTGCTTTCTGCTGGCTGGGTCCCTGGTGAAAGTCTCTTGCACACAGAGGTTGTTGACTGCCACCATCAAATTCCCCTCCACATGCAGAAGAATTTCCCTTTCTGGAACCAAACATTTCATCCAATCCTATGCTGCAGTTATTGGAACAGGTTTTGCATTCTTACAAATGAAAAACTGGCATAGAAAGCACCCTTGCCACAAGCCAACCACCAATCATGCCCTTCTCTAAATAAACTTTTTTAGTTTATTTAGACACATTTATGAACTGCATCATCCAAAATAATGATACAAGTAATCTCTAAGCAGTGTACAAAAAATGATATAATACAATAAAGCACAGATAAAATCAGCAATGCAAGTATGAAGGAACGTCTCCACCCCCATCGTTCAGCCCAGACACTGAGGTCCACCTCCAAGGGCCTTCTGGCGGTTCTCTCACTGCAAGAAGTGAGGTTGCAGGGAACCAGACAGAGGGCCTTCATGGTAGTGGCACCCACCCTGTGGAACACCCTCCCTTCAGATGTCAAGGAAATAAACAACTATCTGACTTTTAGAAGACATCTGAAGGCAGCCCTGTTTAGGGAACTTTTTAATCTTTGATATTTTATTGTGTTTTTAATATTCTGTTGGGAACGACCCAGAATGAGTGGGGTATAGATTATTATTATTATTATTTCTAGCAGACATCTAAAACAGTATAGTGAGGATGCATGACTAATAATAATAATACTAATTTTTATTGTACCCCACTCATCTGACTGGGCTGCCCCAGCCACTCTAATATCAATAGACAGAGAGTTCCAAACCATAGGTATTGCTACACTAAAATATAACATTGTATAACATTATGCATGGTGTAGAGAAAGTTGATAGAGCGTAGCTTTTCTCCTTCTTCCAGCGCACAGTGGTAACGGGTTACAAGCGCTTCAGGTTACAAACTCCGCTAACCCGGAAGTTGTTGCTCTGGGATGCGAACTTTGCCCCAGGATGAGAACGGAAATCATGTGCTGGCAACACGTGGGAGGCCCCATTAGCAAATGTGCGCCTCAGGTTAAGAACGGTTTTGGGTTAAGAACAGACCTACGGAACAAATTAAGTTCATAACCCAATGTACGACTGTACTAGAATTTGGGGACATCCAGTGAAGCTGAATATTGGAAGACTCGGACAAGAGAAAGTACTTTTTCACACAGCACATGTAGTTAAACTATGGAACTCGCTCCATAGCTGTATTAACGGCCATCAACTTGCATGGCTTTAAAAGAGGATTCGACAGATTCATGGAGGACAAGACTATCAATGGCTACTAGTCATGATGGCTATATTCCATGGATAGGCAAACTAAGGCCCGGGGGCCGGATCTGGCCCAATCGCCTTCTAAATCCGGCCCATGGACAGTCCGGGAATCCGCGTGTTTTTACATGAGTAAAATGTGTCCTTTTATTTAAAATGCATCTCTGGGTTATTTGTGGGGCATAGGAATTTGTTCATATTTTTTTTTCAAAATATTGCCCAGCCCCCCACAAGGTCTGAGGGACAGTGGACCAGCCCCCTGCTGAAAAAGTTTGCTGATCCCTGCGTTCCAACTCCAATGTCTGAGGCGGCATGCCCCTTAGTGCCAGCTGAATCGCAGGTGAAGAGGGCACTACAGTATTACCTCATGTTACGTTTGCTTCATCTTACGTTTTTTCAGGTTGCGTCCCGCAGCGACCCAGAAGTACCAGAAAGGGTTACTTCCAGGTTTTGCCGGTCACGCATGTGCAGATGCGCTAAATCATGCTTCATGCATGCGCATAAGCGCCAAATCGCACCGCATACCTGCACAGATACGGCACTTCAGGTTGCAGGCTTTTCATGTTGTGAACGGGCCTCCGGAACGGATTCTGTTCACAACCAGAGATACCACTGTACTGTGCTCAGGTCCTGTTTGCAAACTTCCCAGGGGCTTCTGTTTGGTCACTGTGATAACAGAGTGTAGGACAAGGTGGACCATTGGCCCAGTTCTTATGGGATAGCTCAGTCAGTAAATCATGAGACTCTTAATCTCCGTGTTGTGGGTTCGAGCCCCCACATTGGGAAAAAGATTCTTGCATTGCAGGGGAGATGGACTAGACAACACTGGTGGTCCTTTCCAGCTCTATAATTCTATGATTCTGTGACTTCCCATACATAACACATTGTATGTATGGGGAGAAACTGACATTACAGAGCCACTGTGTTGGTACCGGAACAGGAAGTGGTGGTATTTTTTGGTCACTTACTGTAAGGGACTGGCAAGGCTCTGATGAGTGTGTAGCAGAGCTATTCAGCCTGACTTTCAATTTGAACTTAGCCTGATCTTTTATTCCCCTCCCTTCCCTCCCCCTCCCCTTTTTATGAAGATTACCCGCTCTGGGATCCCACAGCTAATTCTCCCCTGGTCTCCTCGCTGACCCAAATAGGACTAATTTAGCCAGCTAGCCCTGGTGATCATCTAATGTTTATTAGATGGATTTTCCCCCTAAACTGATTTTTGAATTCTGAATTTATTGTTACAGTGGTGCCCCGCAAGACGAACGCCTCGCAAGACGGAAAACCCGCTAGACGAAAGGGTTTTCCGTTTTGGAGGCGCTCATAAGCAATTTCCCTATGGGCTTGCTTCGCAAGGCGAAGCCCATAGGAAATCTCCGAGGACCTCTTTTAAATGCTAGCGGTGGGGAGCAAGCCTTCCCCCTCCGGCCTTCAGAAGAGGTCCAGGAAGGCTGGCGGGGGCCGAAGGCTTTGCTCCCACCGCCAGCATTTTAAAAGCAGTCCGGGATAGCAGGAAGCGCTTCCCGCTATCGCGGACGGCTTTGAAGGCAGGAGAGGTCCGCGAAGCCTGGGCGCGCTGATCTCAGCGCGCGCAGGCTTCGGCATGCCGGCAACTCTCCGCAAGCAGCGGCAGCGCTGCCGCTGCTCGCGGAGAGGTCCGCGAGCCTGGGCGCGCTGATCTCAGCGCGCGCAGGCTCCGGCATGCCGGCAGCTCTCCGCAAGCAGCGGCAGCGCTGCCGCTGCTCGCGGAGAGGTCCGCGAAGCCTGGGCGCGCTGATCTCAGCGCGCGCAGGCTTCGGCATGCCGGCAGCTCTCCGCAAGCAGCGGCAGCGCTGCCGCTGCTCGCGGAGAGGTCCGCGAAGCCTGGGCGCGCTGATCTCAGCGCGCGCAGGCTCGGCATGCCGGCAACTCTCCGCAAGCAGCGGCAGCACTGCCGCTGCTTGCGGAGAGTTCCGCGAAGCCTTGGCTGGACAGCTTTTGAAGGCAGGTGGGGGGGACAAGACTTTCGCCCCCGCCAGCCTTCAGAAGAGGTCCAGGACCTCTTCTGAAGGCTGGCGGGGGCAAAGTCTTTGTCCCCCTGCCTGCCTTCCCAGGGGCTTTAAATTGCCCCGGACAGCGGAGAAGTCCTCCGCTGTCCCGGGGCAATTTTAAAATGCCGCCCGCCAGCATTTAAGATCGCCCCGGACAGCGGAGAAGCCCTCCGCTGTCCCGGGGTTTTAAAATGCTGGGGTGGAGTGGGAAGAAAAGCCCTTGTCCCCCCCAGCCTTCAGAAGAGGTCGGGGGACAGACTGTCCCCGGACCTGGTCTGAAGTCGGTTTCCCTAGGACGCATTAATTGATTTTCAATGCATTCCTATGGGAAACCGTGCATCGCAAGACGAAAAACTCGCAAGAAGAAAAAACTTGCGGAACGAATTAATTTCGTCTTGCGAGGCACCACTGTATTCACGTTTTATACTGCATTTTATGCTGTTTTTGTTGCATCAATTAAGTGTTTTAAATTTGTTGTTAGCTGCCCTGAAACCGGTTTTCTGAACCGGGAAGGGCGGCGTATAAATAAATTATTATTATTATTATTATTATTATTATTATTATTATTATTATTATCAGAGGCAGGGGGCGGAGGCTGACCATGAAAGGGGTCAGAGATACTGAAAAACAAAACGAAAAACCTGTTTATGCAGGCTACGACCACAGCCAGGATGGAAATAAGATTTTGTACCAACCAAGGAGAAGCAGCAGACTAAATTAATGGACTATGCTGAAATGGCAATACTTATGGGAGCAATAAGGAACCCAGAGGAAAAACACTTTATAAAAGACGGGGAAAATACGTGCATTATCTAAAATGTTATTGTACACATATAAGTTTATTAGCAGGATTAAATTAAACCTAACAGTTAAAAAAATAACTAGGGAGTAATTATTAATTGGAGTAAAGAAGGAGATGCAGTGGTATAAATTTAAAAAAAAAGAAACTGCAAAAAGAGGGGGGAGTTTTGTTTGTTTGTTTGTTTTCAGAGACATCCCTTATTTAGACAAGCCGTCCCTGTTTCTGATTTGACCCTGGAATATCCCAATTTCCCTTAGGATGTCCCCATTTTCACTGGAGAAATGTTGGAGGGTATGGAGGTTATCCAACGCCCGAGCTGTCTGAAGGCAATCCTGAATATGGAAGGTTGTCTTTTTTAAAAAATGTTTTATTATGCTTTTATATATGTTGGAAGCTGCCCAGAGTGGCTGGGACAACCCAGTAAGATGTGTGGGGTATAAATGGTAAAATTATCATTATGGAATGGGATGTCCCTATCTTCAGCAGAGAAATGTTGGAGGGTATGCTCTCCTTCTTATGAAAGAACAACACGGGGAGAGAGAAAGAGAGCCGCTGTTGCGTTATGACAAGGGAAATGTCACTTAGTCTACAGACACTGCTCTGGAGGGCTGTAAAGTTAAGAGTGGAAGATCCATGTATGTAATAAGAATGGGCGGTAAATCAGAACAGGGGAGGGAGGGAGAAGACTGAAAATGAGCAAAAATGTGCTCTTGTTCCCCATCCCGCCCCCCTGAAAAGCATCCACATTGTGTGGGTTTTGGTGTATCCATTTTGCATTCTGCCCGATAATGTACCATGCCCACTGCAGTATTTGAAAGCAGCAGGGTTATTTTCCCCATTCTAATTGATGAACAGCTGTGCAGTAATAGACTACAAAGCACAGCTTCACTGATCTCTCCTCAGGCCACTCCAGGAACTGAAAGCTCCACAGGGAATCGGAGGAGAATGAAAGGCGTCCCCCGCCTTCCCCTCCATTATTATTTTATTTTTAAATAAATAAATACATTTTCAAAATGTCTCCCCATTCTCTCTGTCTCTCTCTTTCTCCCTCTCTATTTTAGCACTTCATAACAGCAATAATTAACTCCAATTTCTCCTTAGAGAGAAAGCAGCTGCTCTGGTTCGTCCCACAGCATAGCACCATCATGCTTTGCACCAGTCAGAGGATGATAGTGGGATGATTTCATTCTCTTTCTTTCTTGAAAGAGAACATCAGGCGTTTTGATTGCTAGCTGGCTGTGGCATTTATTTATCTATTTGCTTGCCTATCTGTACGTATTTTGCTAAGCGTAGGTGGCCTACCATTGCCAAGCGCCCAGGAAAGGAAATCCAGGGGCTTGCAGATTAGTTTAAGCCTCTGACAGACAACTGCTTCCTATGCACATTACTGAAGTCACATGGGAACTAGGCATGCCAAACTGGATCCCAAGCAACTCTTGTATGAACCGGGCCTCTGAGGATGCCTCTCTGTAAGCCCTCTTCCCACAAATCTGCCACAAAAGTGTAATATGCACAAATGATGCCAGTGAGAACGTGCATACCCTCCAACATTATTACTCCAATGAAAATAGGGACGTCCTATTCCATCCCAGTAGTGATGTATGGAAGTGAGAGCTGGACCATCAAGAAGGCTGATCGCTGAAGAATTTATGCTTTTGAATTATGGTGCTGGAGGAGACTCTTGAGAGTCCCATGTTTTGCAAGAAGATCAAACCTTTCCATTCTGAAGGAAATCAGCCCTGAGTGCTCACTGGAAGGACAGCTCCTGAAGCAGAGGCTCCAATACTTTGGCCACCTCATGAGAAGAGAAGAATCCCTGGAAAAGACCCTGATGTTGGGAAAGATGTTGGAGGGCACAAGGAGAAGGGAACGACAGAGGACGAGATGGTTGGACAGTGTTCTTGAAGCTACCAGCATGAGTTTGACCAAACTGCAGGAGGCAGTGGAAGACAGGAGTGCCTGGTGTGCTCTGGTCCATGGGGTCACAAAGAGTCGGACACGACTAAATGACTAAACAACAACATATTCCATTATTACTATTACTATTACTATTACTATTACTATTACTATTATACCCCACCCATCTGACTGGGTTGCCCGAGTCACTCTGGGCAGCTTCCAACATATATAAAAACATAATAAAACATTACACATTAGAAAAAACAACAACTTCCCTGTGCAGGGCTGCCTTCAGATGTCTTCTAAAGGTTGTATAGTTACATATTTCATTGGCTTGGGAGTCACATAGCCATAACTTCCAAAATTTCTCTGAGGAAAATAGGGACATCCTAAGGAAAAGTGGGACATTCCAGGAACAGTTCAGAAACTGGGATGGCTTCTGTAAATCCATGATTGTCCCTGGAAATTAGGGGCACTTGGAGGGTCAGAAATTACACTTGCTGCTCTGCGCAACTCTGCTTATGACCCTGCCTGCCACCAGCAGTGAGCAGGTTGGGAACCTCGTCTCCTCCCTTGTTATACGCCTCATGGGTGGTCACAAGTAGGGAGATGGGAGTGAACACACAATGGGAGGGGATTGTGGCTTCACAAGTCCACAGCCTGTGTTTTGCTCATAGCTTTGCCACTGAAGCAGGGTGAAAGCATCTCAGACACTTAATGTCCTGCAACTGTCATAAGCCCTGCAATTCTGGCATGATGAAACTGTCAGCAGGGAGGGTCACATAAAGCCCTCAGACACCCTGAAAGAACACATGAGGGATCACACAGCCTTGCCCGGCCTTCACCATAAGAAGAGCCTGCTGAATCAAGCTACTGGCCCATCTTGTCCAGCATCCCGTTCTCACAGTGACCAACCAGATGGCTGTAGGAAGCCCACAGACAGGATCTGAGCTCAACAGTGTTCTCCCTTCCTGCAGTTCCCAGCAACTGGTATTCAGAAACATTAGCGCCTCCAACTATGGAGGCAGATCATACCCATCAGGTTTAGTAGCCACTGA